TATATATATATATATATATATATAAAATTTTATTTAGTTATATTGTTTATTTAGCATTTTATTACTTTTTACTTGAAGGACATAGGGAGCCAGTGATTTTGGAGTTATTCAATCAGAACTTTTGTTGAATATGGTATACATTTTTTCAAAACTACAAGAATCTAAAATAAAAATATTACGTTTTAAAATAAATTACATTTTAAAATATGTTTTCATCATCTTGGAACAATTTTTGTTTCGTTGACCCAATTATTAATCATTAATCTTTAATGTTTTTGTTTTCCAGTTTGTGTACGTCACTTTAAATGCTGTGATATCAACACGTCCGAGGGTCTGGGTCGAGCCTGGTGGCGTCTGAGGAAGACGTGTTATCAGATAGTGGAGCACAGCTGGTTTGAGACCTTCATCATCTTCATGATCCTCCTCAGCAGTGGAGCGCTGGTGAGCTTTAATATGACATTTTTAGTTCACACTGAATGGTAAAAACTTGTTTGCATTGAGGTCAGTCGCAGTAGTAGGATTTGTTGCAAGAGAGAGGCAAGAGACTTCAGGTGAATATTTAAACTAATAGATATCACATACTTTCTCAGTTGATTAATCACAGAATATTAAGACAATTGTTTTGTATTAAAAGGGTTCTGAAATGTTATGTTCACACGAATGAGGCTTGATCTAATTAAATGTGCACTAATTTGCGAACATTCCAGAGAATAAATCTGAACATTGGAAAAAGCCAGGTTTAGATTTCCTGTTTGATTTTATTGACATATTAATGTTAAATGTTTTTACTGAGGGGATTTTGGATATCTATTTTTATCACTCCATAAATCACAAAATACTGTCAACAGACAGGAAAAATACATTTTCGCTATGTTTTTAGGAATAAAGTGTTGTATAAAATGAAGTGAATGATATATCAACAAACCCCTCAGTAAAAACCTTCAGAATATAGAGAGGAATAAAACTGTAAGTTTTGGTGTATGTAAGCGCTGATGAAGTGGAGATAAAACTTTTTCAATATGTGTTGTAATCGAAATCTACAAACGCGAATAGATAAAGTGCAATAAAATAAACACTTAAAAGTCTGGACACTTAATAAAGAGAAAAAAATGAAAATTCATCATTTACCCATCCGAATGGTGGTCCAAACCAGGGTTGTTATAGTTCACTAAAACTAAAACCATAAAAAAAAGTTATTTGAAATAAAAGAAATATTGACTGAAATAAAATAAAATATAAAAAATGAAACTTGTTTTTATTTCAGCTAGTTTCCAAGACAACATTTCTCATTTTCATTTAGTTTAACTTGATGTACTAAAATAACTAAAAATAAAAATGAATGAAAACTATATAGACTATATAGAAAAAAATAGTAAAAACGGCCAAAAACAACTACATTACTAAAACTTTAACTAGTATTAAAATGATAACAGATCATTGAATTTAATTCAAAATATAAATAAAAACTATATTATTTTCGCAATTATACTGAATTATACTAAAATAAACACTTAAATTAGTATTTTGGATGTTTTCTTTCCACTAGTCTGAAATAAGGCATGTTTTACATTTAGTCATTTAGCAGACACTTTTATTCAAAGCGACTTACAAACAGTGTTGGGGGTAACGCATTACAAGTAACGCGAGTTACGTAATCAGATTACTTTTTTCAAGTAACTAGTAAAGTAACGCATTTCTTTTTTAATTTACAAGAAAATATCGGAGTTACCTTTTCAAAAAAGTAATGCCAGTTACTTTGTTTTCCCATGTATTGACTGACAGCTCTCCTGT